TGTTGATGCAAGTTTCACAATTGTACACTCCCGAATTATTTACACTTTTCCATATCGAACTTCGTGCTTCTTTAAGAGTGATAATAGAAAGAAAAGATGACACTCGAAGTCCGCATGAGTATGTGGTTTGTCTTCATGGTTCAAGAGAGAAAGAGATGAAGGTACTTTTTGATCCTACAAAAGAGTGGGTTGTTTGTAGTTGTAGAAAGTTTGAAATTATGGGAATATTGTGTTGCCATATCCTGAAAGTATTTATCGTCCAAGACGTGATGTGCATTCCACAAAAGTACATATTGGCCAGGTAGACAAAAGGAGTGAAAAGTGCCCAAAACTTGTACAAAGAAAATTCTAATGGTGTGGAGAATGTTATGGATTGGGTTCAAAGGCTTCATTCTCAACTCTTACGGATGACACTTCAAGCTTCCACCCATGAAGTGACACGCAATTGCATGGAGAAAATGGTGAGTGAATGTAATAAGCAAATTTTTGCTTTTACAACGAAAAATGAGAAAGCAAATAAAGAAGTTCCTTCATTCAACATAGAGGAAAAACTTGAAAATATGAAAGGTTTGAAGAAAAAGGACGGGAGAAGAATAACAAAACGACCAAAGGGTTGTGTCGAAAAGCTTTCTAGGAACTCCAAAAAAATAAATTCATCAAAAGAGGTAATCATTATTTTTGTTTGTGTTTGATAGATAAAATTAATACGACATTTTTTATATATATATTTTTTATTTTTTTCTTTTGCCATGAAGCCTTGTCCGTCAATTACCGATTCTCAAGAAAACATGAATTTTAGAGTTGAGATGCACCATCTACAAGAATATGTGAAAGATGGTGTCGCTTCATCCAACTCGGTGGTATCTCAAATCTATAACGGTACGTCTTTATAAAAAAAATAGTTACATTTATTCAATAACAAATTCTTATTATTTATTTTTCATGTATTTATTCAATTTCAGGCACTGCAAGAAACTGAGATCGGGTGCTACTTCAAGAGAAATGCATGACAATTTTAAATTGTCTTTTAGAATTGTAATAGATTATTTTTGTACCCGTCAATGGTCATCCTTTTGTTAGACCAATCGTCATTATTTTAGCTAATAACTTCCTTAAAAAAATTGGTGAATATTTCAATGACGTGTTGGATTTATGTTATTGTACACTAAGTTATCTATGTTCTCTTAGTTTTATTGTGGTCTATGTGATGTATTATTATCTTCTTGTCTTAGTATGCATCATGCTCTCAATAGGAATGATAATTTTGAACTACTAGATTATCTTTTATTTAAGTTTAGTTCCTTGTTCCTGATTACATTCTATCAATAATATCATGACTCAGATTGTCTTTGGCACTTACAACAACAGCCTCCATGTAAACTTGTTCTATTGTGTCCTGCACATAACCGATAATAATACTCTCCATTTGCTTTCTTATATTTATATAATCCAAATCATTTTGAATAGAGAAATATATTTGGTGGGGACACTTGTAGAGACATTATTCAAATATATTTATCATTTTATTTTATAAGCATACACATCTAAATATAAATTTAGAGCACATTTGTTTAGGAAGACAAGATTAGATAACTTTAATCCTTAAGACCAAGATTAGAATGTAGAGACAAGATTAATTTTAAGTTTGTTAGGGGTGATTCATGCAAGATGAGATTATTTGTATGATTTGTTTTGTGTGTTTGTTTCCTTAGATCCAAACTCTGACAAGGAGCACATTTACATATTTGCCCCTCTTTTGTTTTGCATATTTTAATTCATCCGCACACGTAAGTGCTCTTCTTTTGTTTTTTTTTTCTTTTTTTTTTCTTTTTCTGCATGGCTTTGGTTTGTACAGTTATTTTCGACCTGTCTTTTTTATTCTGTGTGAAATACATATCTATAGTCCCATATGTAAGCCGATCCCATTTCTGTTGGTACCATTTAAAATTAATTTACCCATCATACAAAATTTTCTTTTTTTTTTTATTTTATTTTTGGTACAAATGCAATTTTTTCTTCAACACATTAATCATGCAAAAGTAGAAAAGATTAATCATGCCAATTTTATTTTTGGTACACATATTTATAAACTCTACAACATTTTTTCTTTATGTTTGTCTATTTGTAATAACTTCTTCATACATAAAATAATGTAGTTATCAAACATTAAAATATCTCGGCAGCTGTTTAGCGAGTAGCGAAAACATGGATAATATTATGCATCGACATCAGCATCGTGTTTGATACAATATTATAGCCCTTTCTTTAATTTATTTGTTTGCCGCATTTTTTTGGGTTTCTCGTTTAACAATTATTGTTTTTTCGATTATGTAACTTATGCGAAAAATAACGAACATAATGTTGTGTCGGATGATTAGTTGTTATGTCTCCCCGAGTGCTGTTTGGTACCATATATTTCAATACGTTGTACTCATCATCGGTGAATGTTCTTATATAGCCCTCCGACCGGTAGATAACATATTCTATAGGACCCCGAAAATGAAACACAAAAAGAAATTTAAAAAATAAAATAAAAAATGGTTTGGTGAACGCATAATTACTAGCATGAACCGAATAAAAATAGAAGCGGGATGTAATGATTCAGTTTTTACAATTCTGGGTCTTAACGGCCGATAATGAAGCATCAAAACATAACATTTATATTAACAACTAACTTGGAACCTTCTAAAACAAAGAATTCCACAACCAAAATTAAGTAAAACAAATGTGAGATTGGAGTACAAACTTTAGAGTACAAACTTTATCTTAGAAAGACGCCTTGATATGGACGTACCCATGTTCTTCAGCCCCCTGCAACTGTAAAAATTACCACTTTAAACATATACCAGGTATAAACCAAAAAAAAAAAAAAATATGAATGGGGAACGCAGATCTGATAAATGTGTGCACAAGCGTTACGGATTGTCACCTGATCCGCCTTGAGATGGTCAGATCTAAGTATTTGGCCGCGGCTGGGAACGCAGATACGAGCCTCGAGGGAGGGAGGGGAACTTCCGTAAACAGGTCAATTATTGTGGTCCATTTCTTTTGTCTGTTCTTGTGGTGGAAGATGGAAGTGGTATGGTGTAGTAATTTACCCGTTGACTGAGGACACTATAGGCAGATAAATTTACTTTTTGGGGCATATTAGACATTCCTACTTCAGATACTGTGCAGACATTATCGAATCATACCCCCCAGGCCCCGACCTAATAGTCCCCGCAAACCTGGATTAGTGCACTATTCATCGCGGGCCTCATCCAATCTGCCGGGCCGTAATCAGTGTAAACAAACGCTGGATATCCGCCAGACAAGGGGCTAAATCTTGTCCTATCTACCTAAACAAACGTGTCCTTAATGAATAAATTGTAGCACTGTCAATACTTATCCGTCTTTAAATTTCGACTCTTTCACACAAAATCCATTCCACCTCCATTTTTGTTCTCCTAAGTTCCTAACCATACTTGCAAAAAATAAAATAAAAAACTGAGTTGAAACCAACAGTGAGTTTCTTTCTTTTCTAGATAAAATCTCCTCCATAATCGGGGAAGGGAACAAACAAAATTGTACTCGGAGCTTCTTCTTTTTTTTCTTCCTCCGCCCAGTGGCCATCGACCACTGCTCTTTCCCCCTGCAAATCATATTTCCAGATCATTTGAACAATTTCAGGTAAAAATCCTGATTCGAATCGGAAATTGTCAAATTCAGAAATACAACAAATTAATAATGGGTGGTTTACCTCACTTTATTTCCCCTTTATCCCTCGTATTTTAGTCGAGATCGTAGACGCGTCCTCTCCATATGGTCGAGCCCCGAAGCATCCTCTCCTTACGTCGAGATCTCCTTAGCGGCCTCTTTTTCTTAGTCTTTATAGCCTTTGCCAAATTCAATATTGGAAGTCGATGAAACCCCGTGTTTTGGAAGAAGACCCTTCCGTCGGTTGAGAAGAAGAGGGAACGAAATATTCTGATCCTTATTCCTCATTTATTTATAGCCATTAGATTGTCTTTTAATTAATTCATGATCCAAGGGCTGAAAAAAAAACTGCTTGGCTGCTGTTAGTAACCCACAGCAGCCCCCTACCCGTAAAAATTTCTATAAAATAATTTAATAAAATAATTTTCTAATCTATAAAATTTACTAGTACGTAACCCGTGCGATGCACGGGATGTAAAATTTAGAAGAATAATATACCCTCACGTGCATCAGGATCGAAATTTAAATCATTAAAATACATAGGAACATTGTTGAATCATAAAAAAGTTCGGTAACAATCATATATTATTAAAAACCTTCTTGTGCACAACATTATGAGTTTGATTATTTAGTAACTCCTCATTATCACAAACTAATATTTTTTGTTAACAAACTAATATTTTAGGATTGGTGAACAAACTAATATTTTAGGATTTCTAGGATTTGTCTCTTTTTGGTGAACAAACTAATATTTTAGGATTGGTTATATGAATAAGGCTACCTGTTTTTGGTGTTCTTTTCATTCATTTTCATTCAAACAATCCGATGACTTGTATAATGAAATCCGAATCTTAAGGCGAAATATTTAAAAAAAGAGTTTTTAAAAATTGAAAAGTCAAGACAATCAGTTCAGATTAATTAAAAGTTAAAGAATATCCGCTCCTTGAAATAAAGACGTGTGCTATCATTAACCAAATATCCGGTTATTGATATAGAGTGGTCACCAAAAAATAGAATACGATAAGGACGCTTCATGGATATATCAATGGGATAAGGTCATAACAGATCGCTATACATTTTAACGATAAAAGCTCAGATGGAATGATTTATAATAATTATGTCGTAATTAATGAATTAATTAGATATGTGAAAATAATATAATTAATGAGAAGTGTGAAAAGGACATAATTAATGAGAAGTGTGAAAAAGACAAAAACTTATCAGTTTTGGAAAATATTTAATGCAAATCCGACATTGACCGTAATTTGACCTACTATTTTGAATAAATGTTAATTCTTATTATATAAGTATAGATTATACGGAGCAGTATTATTTATCACTGGAAATATCATCGTCATCCGTTGCGAGCTTCAAGTTTCTTTGAAACCCTAGCCGTAAACTTCACCCCCCATACTAAACCCTAAATCTCGCCCCGTCGATTTTTCGTTATGGCTAAAAAGCGAAAATCCGCCTCAGTTGCCGTCGCCGAGACTCCTCAGGAGCCGGAACCCGTTCAGACCGATCAGGAGCCTGAGTATCCCCAGCCGGAAGAACCCCAGCAGGTCCCGGAGGAAGACCAAGGTGTCGGGGACGAAGCAGTCGGCGACGGCGGAGAGGAAGAGGAGGAAGAAGAAGATGAACAAGAAGAAGAGGAAGACGATGAAGACCCGGACAACGTAGACGAGCAAACCGACGCCGTTCAGGGCGACACCGTGAAAAACGATCAACAAGTTGAATCCGCTGTTAATCCGCCCCCGACCTCGGTCCCAGCAAACGGCAGCGAGGACGAAGGAGATGACGAGGAGGAGCCGCTGGAGAAAATTCTGGAACCCTTCTCCAAGGACCAATTAACGCTCCTGGTCAAAGAGGCGGTCGCAAAACATCCCGACCTAGTTGAGATCGTTCATAATTTGGCGGACTCCGACCCCTCACACCGTAAGATTTTCGTCCACGGGCTTGGCTGGGAGGCCAGTGACGAGTCCATCACCACCTCGTTTAGCAAGTATGGTGAAGTCCAGGACTGCAAGGTTGTCAAAGACAAGATCTCTGGGAAATCCAAGGGCTACGCTTTCATTCTGTTCAAGCACCGCAAGGGGGCCCGGAAGGCCCTGAAGGAGCCGCAAAAGCTGATCGAGGGCCGGATGGCGTCGTGCCAGCTGGCCTCTGCGGGGCCCGTCAAAGCTCCCACAGCACCAATGGCTGCTGCTGTCCCGGCCCCATATGAATCAGAGTATACGAGGAGGAAGATATACGTGAGCAATGTGTCCCCCGAGATCGACCCGAATAAGCTCTCGGAATTCTTCTCCACATTTGGTGAGATTGAAGAAGGCCCGCTGGGCCTGGACAAGCAGACTGGGAAACCAAGAGGGTTCTGTCTGTTTGTGTACAAGTCTCTTGAGAGCGCAAAGAAGGCCCTTGAAGAGCCTCAAAAGACTTTCCAAGGCCACACCCTACACTGCCAGAAGGCTGTGGATGGGCCCAAGCACGCCAAGGGCTTTTTCAGCCCCCAGCAGAGCCAGACGCCACGTCAGCACCAAGGGAACTACCGTCACACAGCCAAGAAGGGAAGGTATTCTTCTGCGGGTGGGCACTTGATGGCACCCAACACAGGCCAGGTGGGTTATAATCCGGCGGTGGCACCTGCGGCTATAGGGCAGGCCGTGGCAGCTTTGTTGGCCACTCAGGGGGCCGGATTAGGTATTGGGAATTTGCTGGGAGGAATTGGTGCTGGTGGAAATCTGCAGGGAGGGCCACCGATTATGAATAACACGGGTTATGGTGGTCAAGGTGGTGGGGGCTATGTGGGCAAGCAGGGGATGCAAGGAGGTTATGGGGTTCGTCCACATCAGGGTGGTGCGCCTTACATGGGTCCAGGTGGTCACTAGGTAAGTTGAATGGTATGTTGAGATGTTTTTGTGGCTGTTATGAAGCTGTTTTGGAAGCTGACCATGTATGTGATGCTTTTCGAATATTTTAAGTGTGGTCGACTGGTTAGATTTGGTGTTACCTGTGGCTTGTTGAGTCTGCATCGCCAAATATGAAGGGATATGGATAAAAGTTGCGACTGTTAGATAAGAGTATATAACTAACAAGATCATGTTGTTGGTATTACTTTTTTCAATTTCGAATCTGTCCTCTTGGGTTCTCGAGTGGGTTTTTTGTGTGTCTGGGAGTTATACTTATCATAGAGCAATGGTGTTATCTGTTATTCCAACCTGAAGTTGAAAAAAAAAGTCTGAAGATATTGCAAGCTTTCACTTGTACAACTTTTTTGTCTTCTTGTGCGACTTTAAGATGGTTAAACTATGACGAAGCATGTTTTGTCTCACCCAAAACCTACGATAAATTATATCCACCTTGTGGTTTGGGTTGCTTTTAACGATTTAGTGTCGATTTTGCTGTTTTATTTACATATTGTGAATATGTTAACTTGTCTTAATGACTAAGTAGTCATTTGGAATGCATACATTTTTCTTAGGGCAATGACGCACTATGGATGCTATTGCATATATATGGTGTGGTATCATGCAATATTATAAAGGCAAGCCACTGGTACGCTGCTATATCTACTTGTCTCTCTGCATTGCACAAATTTGCTAATTTTAAAGTGTGTTTTTCATGTCCCTATAACTTAGCTTGCTTTCAGATTATGCTGCTGCTTTGATATTTTTTTAGCTTTTTGTTTTTTCATGCTTTGTTTGCTTATCTAATCTAAAGCTTCTTGCGTAGATGGATAATATGTGTGACTACATATTAATTTCTGAGCTTGTTCATTGCTTACGGGTGGGAATTAATCTTCTTTTCAAATTAATATTTTATCTCAAATGTATTTACTTTGCAGATTCTTCAAAAAATGCCACAAACTTTTAAGTTTTGGACTCTGGTGATTCTTCTGAAGTTCGAGCATTCATGCAAATGACGCCTTCGTTGCACTAAAATGTTTACCATTTGCTTAAAGACTAGAATATAAAATATGTATTTCATTTTTATCAAATACTTTTATTCGAGTATTCCCTAGTCAAATTTCTGATATTTCATTTGAGTAGAAACTTTTTCAAGCACTAATAACCATGATAACAATCCTGCATGTGTTTCTTCTAGACCAAAAAGGTTGCTAATCATTTGTGTTTCTGTACTTTGCATTATGTTTTTGTTATATCGGTATTATAAAAAAACTCAGCTGTATGTCTGTGTTATTAAGTTCATTGATATATATATATATATATATATATATATACACTCATTGGTTTACGCAATTTGAAGGCAAACATTAATTTGCTGGACCTTTTCAACAGTTGATCTCATCTGCAGTGGCTTTCTTGTTAACTGACACAATATTTTGATCTTTATATGCTCTCTCTCTCTTCGGAATGTTTATATTGCAGAAAAGCTTTGGTGTCACTGTGGCCACTCTTTGCATTGTGTGTGTTCACAAACCTTGATAAGCTCAAGCATTTGCCCATCTTATTGTGTACCACTTAGCTAGTATTCCCAGATTGGAAAAATGAATGAGATCAGTTGCCATTTGGCACTTGATAGCTAGCAGCTTCAATTTTTTGACCAAAGTAAAATCATTTTTTGAAGAATAATAGGAGTGAGAGTTTTCAATAGGACACTAAAAAAATGTCTATTTTTGTTTTAAATCTCTCCCCCAAACCTTTACGTGATATCTCCCATCTTGGGCTCCTGAGTTCTGCCAATTTTTAACAGGAAAAGAGCCTCCGTTTTCTTATTACCTATACTCATTTCTCCGAGGTTCCTATGTCTAAATAATTATTCCAAAACAGGGGCTATGTGGAAAGTTATTGGTGTATTTTTTATTTAGATTGATTTTTTTAATNCGGGTAATTAAGTTGTCGAATTTTGGCTTCTTGGGGTGATAAGGAGGGGAATATGATAAGCTACGATGATGGGAGTTTCTGCTGCTTTGTGGCCAATCCTTCTTGCAGTAACTGGGCCGGGCTGAACGAAGCTTGCCCCGAGGTATTTCGGTTGAGTTGGCAAAGATTGGATTGTTAAGTTGGAGTTTGATCTGATCCTCCTTTTTAAAAGGGAGAGAAAAAAAGAAAAAGAAAAAAACAAGTTGGAGTTTTGATCTTTTGCTTAATATCATGGTATGTGAGTACGTGTGACAGATTGTGGGTATTCTTTGGCAAATTATGCTGGCTTTGTGTTTTGAAAGGTTGTTGAATTGGGATTATTTAATAAAGTATCTTTTAATTTCGTTCTAATAATACTAAGGAGCCAACTGTTGGTTCTGTTATGGAACCAACAACCAATGGGACAATTCTACGTGGGACTGTCCCACATAGCTCTAATGTGGAACAGCCCCACATGGAGTTGTCTCATTGGCTGTTGGCTCCATAACGGAGCCAACAGTTGACTCCTTAACATTACTGAATTTCGTTCTTTGGATACTACGATTGGTAGTGAAGATTTACCGTAACACTAATTATATTCTCATATTCTCGAATTACTAGAAATTCAGATTTACCGTAACACCAATTATATTCTCATATTCTCGAATTACTAGAAATTCAGATTTACCGTAACATCAATTATATTCTCGAATTACTAGAAATTCCGAAGGGCCGTACGGCAGTGTTTGCAGTACTTCATTAATAAGATCGTGTAATCAACTTTTTTCATATTGAATCATTAGCACTTTATTAACGTCAAAATGCATTTCTGTGGTTATAAATCATAGTTTCCATTGTTCTAAAAACCATGTTGTATATGGTGCAAAATTGGTCGAAATGACTAGTGTCCCCCAGCTTTCTTTTGCGTCATGTTGTGTTTAATGCTAATATATTGAAAGAACATAATACAAAATATATTTTTTAATTGATAATTATATTTTCAAACAATAATTAAAACTAAAAAAAAATCGCAGCAAAAAAACTAATGGCAAAATTTTCATTTTTTCTATCATTTTTTTGGTTAATTATGGTAAAAAGCTATTTCATTGTATATTAATTAAGAAATAATTATATTTTTTTATAATATTTATATAATATAATAGTTATTAAGTTTAAGTAATTATATTTCACATTCAGTTATACATGGAAATTACATAAATAAAATATTGCAAAACTTTTTATTCATGCATTTATTCTAAAATCAGTATATATATTATTTGCATTTCATTAAGAGATTAAAAAATAAACTAATTGATTTTAAACGCATAGTTAAACTCTTTAAAATCACATTAATAATTGTTATTATACATTTAAGATTTTTCAACTAATTCATTAGTAATGATACGCAAATTTATAGAAAGTTATTATCCATACCTTTTATACAATCAGTGAATGATGAAAGTTCTAAGATGTGATACAATTATTTAATTTATAATTTTAATATTATATACACATAATTTATAATAGTTTTATTCACATATGTGCATCTAGTACTAGTTTATATAATCGTAGGCAAACTAATTAGTATTATTACAAAATTTACCCCGTCATTTTTTTATATCTATGTATATATAATAAGAATTACCATTTACCAAAAATAGTAGCAAAAAAATAGTCCATAATTTAATGTAGCCTATAAATAATAGGTTTTATTATTTTTCTTATTTTTTATTTAAAAATCATACAGCATTAAAATGTTACCTTAAATTTCGGAAGTTTTATTATTTTTCTTATTTTTTTTCTTTGAAAATCATACAACATTAAGTGTTACCTTAAATTTCGGGCTTTAGTTCATTTTATTATTTAAAAAATCCAGCTAAGATTTATTAAGTGTGTATGTTTTTATTTTTATTTTTTTCTTAGAAACAACGAGTAACATTAAAATATCGGTCTCTATATTTATAAAATCTCAATTCAAAATATAACAAAAGTTTTAGAATCTCGGTCTTTATATTTGTGCCTTTAAAAAAAATATTGAACGCTAAAAATATATTCTCATTGGTGAGATACAAAGCGCGATTAGTTGCTCAAGGGTTTTGCAAAGACCCGATATTCATTTTGATCAAACATATTCTCCTGTAATGTATGGAATAACGTTCCGCTATTTGATATCTCTGGCAATAACTATGAATTTAGATATGCAGTTAATGGATGTCATGACTGCATATTTATATAGTCAAAGCAAGGGCTGGTAGTGCAAGAATATTCTTCAATGAGCATAATCTTTATTTAAAGGAGAAGGAAAAGACTGCTATGAATGAGATCCTCAGTTAGTCAAAGCAAAGGCTGGTAGTGCAAGAATATTTTTCAATGAGCAGAATTACAATGAGGCGCTGAAGCTTACAAAAGCTGGGGGAACAATGGAATTGTGAGTCATTACTTAATATGTTGTTTAAATATATACATGCAATATTGACGTGCATGAAACATTGGCTCACCAAGATTTCGAGTTGAATCGCCTTGTCTTGATCGCTTTAAACCACAATCAGATGAACATGCAAAACAGCGCTAGGGGCTATTTAAAATTTTAGTATGTACAAAGAAGGATTTTTGGCTAAAATTAGCATGTCTTATTTTCATTATACAGTAAAATATGATTGGATATCTTGAGAGATTAATCATCTTTGTGTGATCTAGTATTTAAAATGAAGGTAACTATCACACTTTAAAAACATCAAACTAAAAAATTATTTGAGAACTGCATCAAAGTAAAAATTTATTACATAGTAAGTGACAATCACATAGCTGTACATACAAAAATACAAATAAAATAGAAGTTGTTTTAATTAATAAGTGGTCATTATTAATACAGCAACTCAATGCATAGGAGTAAATTAAAAACATAAGAGAACATATATTTTAATACTATTTTTTAGATAAATATGATATTAAATTATGAGTGTTGCTATCAATTATCTTTCATTAATTAAAATTTTCATTGACCAGATACCGCAATAACCCATCCTGAATTAATAATTTCGGTCGATCAGACACCAACTAATTAATGGAGGCTGGTGGGTAATTTTTTTTTTTAAAAAAAAAAAAACTATATTATAGACGTACGCAATGATTTTAACGATGAGACACCAACAAATCATTTTTTAAGAGATGTACGTAACATGTTTAATTTATCAAATAATAAAGGATCACATTCTAAATTAAAAGTTGTTTTGCTTTAATAAATTTATCAAATAATAAAAGATCATATTCTAAATTTAAAGTTGTTTTGCTTTGATACGAATATATGCATTTAGAGTAGAGGGAAAGCAATGGAGAAGCCCTAATAATTCCAGTGCCTAATAATTTTGTTAAAAGTTAAAACTAATAGAATCTCCAAAAACTATATCATTAAAAGCATTTAATTATGAATAATAATAATAATAATAATAATAATAATAATAATAATAATAAAAGAAAATAATAAAAATTGCAGAAAATGATGGCCATTTTTGCTAAAGACAGGCTACACCATCGTCTTGAAATGCAACTGAAAGCAAGCCAAAGAGAACGCATGAATTGAAAGCAAACCAAAGAGAACGCATGAATTACTGAGTTGAGGAGTGTGTGTTTCACTAGATTGTTGCAAACATTTTCTTTTGCTTCAAAATCGACCTAAGTTTTGAGTTTCTCCATTATGATACAACAATGTAAGTTTCCAAATAAGTTCCAAGGCAATTACACAACCACAACAAATTTTCCATCAGCTCAGGTGCTTATTTGTAAGACAGAAACATCTTATCAATTGGGTATTTGTACCTTTAAAACATAAACACCAGCCTTTGGAATACAAGAAAACAGATGAAGAACCAAGTCGAAAATCATAATTTATAACCCAAATAGGCAAACCAAATTCAAGCCAACACAAACACCGACCAAGCTTCCTTGCAAAACAAAAAAGCAAAAAACGGCACAACGAAGGCTAACCCGACAGTTACTAGGCACAGACCATAGGTCAAAGGTTCTGCACTCAGACAGGATCCATAATAATATAAACATAGGTAAAAATGCGCAAAAGCAGGCACCAAACATAAGTTAAAGTACGCATTTGCTAGTAGTAACGAGTTCAAGTCTTAAAAACCATAGGCCTAACAGAAAAACATGGAGTTGCGAACACTCTCCTTGAGCGTGGGCATTGGGACGACAGCTGGCACAGTCCCATTGTGGCTCGAGGATGTTTCGGATTTCTCTTCGAACTTCATCCACTGTCCCAACTGGGTGGCTGCCAGGTGGGCATAGCAAATTGGGGCAACTGTTCACAACAAAAAGAAATAAACGAATATAAGGCAAATACAAGAGTAAGTGCAAAACCTGCACGTTTTATAATTAATTTGCATAAGTAGTTGAAAAGAAAGCAATTACCAACTGAAATAGCAGTGGTGCTACGCTGGTACCTGCAATAAAGATAATGCAAAAAGAAAATGGTTTGTCACTGAGAATTAAATTAAACTAGGTGAGCTGAAAAATTGGTTTTGATTAACTAGGTAACTTACACATAGGACAAGGAGTGAACAAGTTCTTGCAGGTCATCTGGGGCAAAACCCACCTCATCAAGGAGGACATGATAATGGGTTGGCCTTGTAGTACCCTGTAATATACAATACAAGTTTACATGAATACTCATCAGCAAAAATATCTTGATAAAACTGAGATAGGCAAAGCATAACAAGATCAACAAACAAACGATGGCTTACAATCATCCCAGCATGTGCACATAAGTAGAAATCATTGTTCTTGGGATGACAGATTTTGTTATCAATTATTGTCCCTGCCAAAAAATCAGAAAATGTAAAATCTACCTTGTCTCCTTCAATAGTTGTCATTGACAAAACTGAACCGGGTATAAATGAGGGGAAAGAAAACCTGGCTGCACATTTTCGGGAGCATTTGGCTGGAAAAATTTTGTGTGGTGATTCTTCTGTGCAATGATGACCACAAACTTGGGTGACCACTTCTCATCAAGGAATTTGCAGGCCTGCCCAAAAATGGTAAAGAAATAAGCTCAATACGGAAAACCAAGATAAGGTAAAAATCACAAATTCATAACATGATTATAATACAGCTATATATAAGTCAGATAAAAACCTCTATTATCTGGTTTAGTTCGACATTCAGCACTTGATTGAACTGGGATTCGCTGACACCATCTCTGAAATTTCATAAAATGGGTGCTTACGAACATTGGACAACCAGTAATATCAGAATACATAAAAAAACAAACTAGTGTAGAAACTCCAAAACTGATGTACAAATTACAAATAGTGTAGAAATATACCGCCCGAACTCCAAAACTGATGTACAAATTACAAATATTCAGAATATTGGCTACCTGAAGATTATAATTTGGTCGGGCTTTCTTTTCTGCGAACTAGTGTAGAAATCAAGCAGAAGTTCCCTACAATCAAAGAAGACGATATTCCCATAAGCCATCTCGTGGAAAATTACAAGTGATGCTTTAATAAATAATGTAGGTGAACTTTAGAGCCCAAATGCTGTAAAAACACAACTCTATTTGATAGCTCATGCTTAAACCCAAAAATATTACCTCATAATGCCTTCATCCTCAGTGTCTGACACACGCTTGTAAAGGGAATCAATCATTTCAACTTTCGGGGACTGAGTACGGACACAAGCTCGATAGCGAGAAATAGAGGGCCACTGCCTTGAGCTAACAACCTGAGTAATTAATCAAAAGCAAGTGCAACATTTTGAAGTCAACAATAGAAAAAGGCTCTCACAGCTTGAATTTACTAAGGATAATTTAAAAATTCCTTTAACAAAAAATCTAATTAAAAAAGGGAAATATAATTTACTGTCCCAGTTATGATATATAAAAAAGCACATACTGCAGCAATAGACGGAATATCAGACTGTCCAGGCGAGCCATGAGACACATCCATCCCTAGAATTAAGGTGGGAGACTTGGATATCACAGGAATTGATGGGGACAACTCACCAGCTAGCATGGAGTTCAAACCACCTAGCTGCAGGATTAAAAAAAAAAAAAACATTACAACACCAACAAGATTATAAAGCAAGACAGGCTAACTTTTGGGGGATTCACTAACCTTGGCATTAATTTTCAGTAGAAGATTGGTCAAATACTGGTCATTTACACGTCCAGGGGACAGGCACTGGGTAACAACTCCAAAATCAGATAAGTTCTTCCTCTTCCAGGGACCTTACAATTATTTTTAATGGAAAAGGTCAACATTATTAACTTTTACTTAAAGTTGAGTTATTGGTTATTGATTTTTACGAATACCATAAACATCGCAGTTTTTGCGCTCTGGCAGCAAGCACAGGAGAAACTTTGGCGGACCAGGAAGCTTTGATTGTATCTCCTCAAACATTTTCTCCACCCTAACAATGGGTGGAGCCCTTCTGAACTGAGGGCTCTCCTCAAATACGTCGAATGGATCTTCCACAATCTGTAATAGAGAAAATCAGCATAATTCACTTCAAAAGAAAGAAACTACCCCTGCAATCTAGCCTAATGATGAAAAATACATTTAATTTACAAAATGAATAGTACACCATTGAACATCGGGAGAACACTGAAATACTTTGAAGAGATGGTTGGGTTTTTTAAGTTGAAAGTCCATGAGAGCATTTTTTGCAGTTACAACTTACATCTTTATAAACATGCAAAAAAACATAAAGAACAGAGGTGAGAAAACATACAACTCCTTTCATTTGACCAACTTTCATCAAGTCCCTGACCAGGTTACGCACATCACATCGAGCAGAGAAGTTGACAACAGCCCATTTCTCGATCTTACTAGCATCAACAAGTTTCTGTGCAAATATATTGGACAATTTAAATAAAACATATGGAACAGACAATTTAGCACGAGCTACAATCATAGTGTAGAAGTTTTATGAATAAACCTTATTGTTGAAGTTCCACCTTCCGTTTCGAGCAAACAGATCTTCACCATTACCGACTTTAAGCTGCAACACCAAGTAATAAAGTCAGCAACAGCTTTTCATCCCATCTTTACAAAAGTTCAGGACTACAAGAATTCTGAAACATATCCCAAAACATAAATACCTTCGGAGTTGGCAGAATACGCCCTTCGACCTGGGTGAAGCTGTTGTTAATGGACACGCCACAAGTCCGAAGCATAGGCTCGGCATCATAATTGTTGATTTTCAAAGCCTGCCACAAACAGAAGCAGATCAATACGCAGAAGTAAAAAAAAAAAAAAAAGCAAGCAAAAGGCACTATGAGAGAGCAAGCATCATACATTACTCAAAACAGACATTCTCTCTTGCGGTTTCTGACGTGATTTCTCCACGAGGGATGCCCTTTGAAAGGTTGATAAAGCTTTTGTGTAACGTTGCAAAGACACCAAAGAGCACAACTAATACAAGCCGAAAGGAAAAGGTCATGCAAAAAATTTAGTATTTTTAAGCAAAAGGTGAAATAAAATCAACAATTCACCTCGATCGGGATGTAGGTGGGGCGTTTAGGTTTCCCAACATTAATGCATGGCAAATCAGCGGAATATCGCAAATTGATATTGCGTTGGTTGACAAAGTAGTCATAGACAGTCACTTCTTCACCTTCTTCGTCCTTGTTCTTCGACTTCAATGTGAACCTATAATTTTCACAGAAAGCAACTACATTAAATCCAAACCAGACAGAGGGGGAGAGACTGGAAATTTGTCCAGTTTAAAAGTCACCCAAAACATAAAAGCAATCATACGTCTGTTCTCTGCAACTTTTCTCACTTAATCCAGTGATTTTATACTCCTGGTTAGTGGGACTTGTCTTTATCCTCAAATTCTTCAGAGTGCGTTTCGCCTGTTGTGATTTTATCAGCAATCATAATGTCTTGAACAGAAAATATGGGGAAAAAAGAGGACTTTCACTGCTCATTCAAAAACAAAAAAGGTAAAAAAAAAAGCTGTTTTCAAACCTTTGCCCAGTCAACAGAGAAGGGATCTTTCACATTCTGATTATTAACAAGAAAATCAGCTACAGGCCCAGGCTGGATAATCATAGTTGTGGATACATCTGAAAGTGTACAAAATTTCTCATCCAGTTACAATGAACAATAACAAAAATGAAAGGCTAACAAAGATAAGCAAAGCAAAACCATTACCAATGTTTAGGGATAAGCCACCCTGGGTAGTCCTGAAGCTTGAATGAAAACCTCGGCAACCAAGAACTCCACCGCCAACATCAGCAAAATTTTTTGGGTCATTGTGGAAAAAGGATTGACGAACAAGCAAGCAACCTCTGAAATTAAGAATTATTAGGCCTCTATTGTTTTGACTTCTTTTCCATCAATAATGGAAACTTCTGCAGGAAAATCTAGGATGAATATTAAGTGTTACTAATACTAAGGATGAGAAGAAAATGCATTAACAAATGAAGATTTCAGAGGGATATTTTAGAAAAAATTGCATACTACCTAATAAATTCAACAAAAAATAAAATAAAGCATCTCGCAGAAGCTATAAAAGCCCTACTACAAACTGAGCCAAATATTTCATTGGCAATGCGTTACTTACTGCTTGGCCGCATGCTGCCTTAAAATGATATCCAAAACCCGCAAAGCCTCCATAGAATTTTCAGTTTCCTGGCCGCGCAAAGCATTTGCAATGGCCTGCATAGGGATCTTGGCTGCATAACTGATTTCCACTTTGAATGTTTTAGACTGGTAAGGGCGCCTTATCCTTTTCTTGTCACTCTCATTAAGACTTTCATGTCCTCCAGGGCTGGAATTTCCATTGTTCCTGAATAAAACCAATGCACCAGTATGAAGAAACAAAAGAACCCAAAGTAATGAGTCCAAAATAATTCAGTGACCAGTCAAGCCAAACAATACACCGGAATGAAGTTTTCATGCATGTTCATACATAATACTTGCACAATATTTTCTACATTATATTTCACTGTCACTAATATTTTCATTGCTCCCGCAAGACCAAGATGTAATAGATAAGTAACAGTACACCATAGTTTCATCATATAATCCATGACAACAATTAAAGGAAGTACGATAACAATTAAAAAATTAATAATAATGGCTACAATTTGACTCAACTCAGTTAAAGTGAATGTGAAGTATAAGTAAATGAGAAGGTTGCAAAACTCGAACACCACACATACCTACTAGATGTAACAGTATCAAGGACAATGGTAAACTCAAGCTTGTTCCGTGGCAGAGGGCCCACGGTGAATAAGCTTTTCTCTCCATCATAGGCAAAGTGTTTGCCATCCAACTCCGTGTCATAAGTCTCATGAACACGGTCAAGAACTTTCCTACCTACACCCTTTCCATCAACAGGGCGACCATCTTCATAGAAAAGAGCCACCTACAGAATAATAAAATCAAACAATATGATACAATTAGCCACCAGAATTTCGCAGGATATTNAAAAAAAAAAAAAAATAGCCCTTCTGAGATGTGACTACAAAAGAAAAATCCTCACAAGTTTTTACTTTCATATTGACCTCAAATAATACCCACAGAAGGAAGAAATTTGGAGAAAATGTGGTTAATGGGTAGTTTAAAAATTTTAGCAAAATCCTTGGAAATGTTGTGAACACAATCAATAAAATAAAATCAATCAATCAACAAGTCTCACTAAGTGGGGTCGGCTATATGGATCACATGCCACCATCGTGCCCGATAATCAAGAAAATGAAATACAGGTTGAAAAACAAAAGATGAAGGTATCTGCTACATACACTGTAATGGAAGAAATGGCCTTCAAGGTTTTTCACGTTAACCCTGAAATGATTTGTGAGGATAGGAACCTTGTTTCCCTTGGTCCCAAACCCACGACGGGCCATTGGGACCCGCAAGACCTTTTTCACCTCAGGTTCGTTATCAACTTTTATGGGAGTAACATTTGCAGGAATGGGTGGCGGAGGTGGGAGCTCTTCCATAGCTGCTGTAGCCCCATTGCCCTCTTGCTCATTAGGGTCCATTCTGCAATCTCTTCAAGTAAACCTGAAATACATAAAATGAAAGATTCATAGGCAGTGGAACATGAAATAAATATGAAAGTTTCTGAAATTTTAAAATTCTATAAAAGTAGCTATCAGAATCCACAAAAGAAAGAAAAACAGAAGCTTCTTTAAAAAACCATCCCCATGATAAGAAACTTCTTTAACAACACACACATCTTCTAATTTAGGCCAATGAAAAATACCAAAAAACAAATTTACATGTGAGATTATGATGGTAATCAAACAAACATGACATATTGCTATATAACACAACACAATCTTGAGGAGAAACAGATTATGACAACAGATAGCAATCATAAGAGATACAGAACACAGACACACAGTCCAACATTCCAACTCAAGCAGTGAGCATTAAATTTCTTGAGTGTAAAAAATTAACGAAAATACAAAAAGCCAACAAAAGAAAAATTATAAAATAAAGTACTTCTCATGTAAAATAATAAAATAACAATAACTCATTTATTTATAAAGTTAATGTGGAATAGCATAAAAGGAAAATAAAAGCAAACCCTTCAGCTGACACAGGCACAGAAAAAAACATTTATTAGAAGAAAATGAAAAGGTAAAAAATTGGAGAAATATTAATAATATCATGACAGCAGTCTCAAGAACTATTACAAGCAACATTAGATCCGAAATATTTATAGATCTTACTAGGAAACAACCATGCATACTGAAATCGAAACAAGAAACCCAGAAATAAAAAATATATAAAATAAACAAATAAGCAAATAGGGAAAAATATGAAAGAAACTCTGAAAAGATACAAAGCAGGGTAACATAATCAGAGTAAAAGCAAACTGTGACCAAACCCTCTCTCATTACCTTGAGAAAACACAACAGCCGTAAATGTAAAAACTTAAACCCCAAACAGCAAGTCACAAAACGCTGTAAAAAACACACCCGAAAAAATATTTTAGAAAAATAAGGTCAACGAGAGATCACGACATCTGCAAAATGTACACGAAAATAGAACAGGGTTCTGCACAGGAAACGCAGGGGAAAAAACCAAAATAGAGAAAATAAAGCGTGAAACAAGAACTTGACTGACAAAACAAAACCCACACTACTCTGAAAAGAAAATCGAAGCGGGAAGCCTGAAACAGACCCAAGAAACCCTAAAAAATGGAGGCGCACACAGTAAATAAATTCAAAGAGAAGAATGTAAAGAAGGGGATTTTTAGAGAGAGAGAGAGAGAGAGAGTGAAAGAGTTACGCACGGTAGAGAGAGACCACAAAGTAGAGAATGGAGTTGGGTTGTGGGCTTGTGCACACTTTATTCACCACAGTACATACACACTTGTCATACATATGACTTCATTTGCGTTACAATCCATGACCCTTCCAAATATTTCGAAAATATTAAAGCCAAAAAAAAAAAGAGGAAAGAGCAAAGGAAAATAAATTACACTTTTGTACTCGATTTTATTGGTGAAATAATTTAATTTTTTTTAAATAAGCTACTATGAAATAAATAATGTGATTTACTTGCCACAAACAGATTACTTAACTATTATCAAAACACATACTGTAATAAAATTATTTAAAGGTAACGGAATCTTTTAGGATATCAAGAATCACAAATATAATTATGATGAAAATGGGTCTCGATTTATGGTAGTAGATTATAATAACGCCCATCATCTATTAAATCATATACCAATTTCAATTTTACGAAGCGATTTCTGTATTGTATAATTATTAAACAAATTATGTTTACATTATCAAGTGAATTTATCTTCGAAGTATTTTATACTAGTACAGTCCCGTGCGATGCACGGGGATTTATTATCTTCGTCCCTTTTATAAAGCAATGTTCAGTTAAAATTCAAAGTACTTACTAAAGGAAAGATCATGCCATTAATAATAAATAAATTAATAAATACAATGATAATAAAATCTATATATTATTGAACACTTCCTTATATACAACGTTCATGGTTCGATTCTTTGGCACGTCATCGTCGGCGCAAATTAGGACTTTCAAACCCATTTCTGTTTGTGACACGGGAGACAGCAACATACAATTGACCATGACTAAACACTGGTTTCTTAAGAAAGAAGTCCACATGCGATAATTATTGTTCCTGACTCTTGTTTATAGTCATGTTGTAAGAAAATATAATGGGAAACAATTAATCCAATAACATCTACAAAAATATAAGAAAATGCATCATATTGAAATGTATAACATATAAAATAGTTTATTACAGATTTAAATTAAAAAAATCGAAATAAGAAATAAACAAAAAAATTATAACGTACTAAACAACATGACTTCATCAATGTTACGAACATCCATTAAAGTTAGAAATAGAGAAATCACCCCTCCATTTGATAAATCACCTCTCCATTTGATAGATCACCCCTCCATTTGATAATCTTGGTTTGACCATTGATAAAGATCCTCCTTTTACCTATCGTCAATTTATGGATGTCAGTATTGCTATTCACTTGATAGTTTGTCAAGATATAAGCGCCACCTTCTTCGATATCACCGATGATTTTTTGGATATTGACAGGCCGAATTATGCCAGTAATTCATCCTCCCTAAAACATTGCATAATGAATACTTCAATAACTAAATTATAAAAGATGTTGCATAAATTGATGCATTTAAATAATACTAAATGAATATATTACCTCAAAATCATAAAAGATAATCTCAAGAACATTTCGGTAATTGTGTACGTCTTCAACTCGTTGGAACATCCTAATTACGCGTAGCTTGATTGGTGGCTTATTGGATCTTTTGATATCCTTGATTACTCCAAAATCCGAAGCCATTTTCAATGGTGATGTAAAAGCTTGTAGAAAAAATTGTTTTGTGGGATATATTGGATGTCGAATACTTTTTGTTCAACGTTGGTGATGTTTATATAGTCATGTGTATGTGCCATATGTCTAGGAAATAAAAAAATATTTACGTAAGGTATTTAATATGATCCGATCCGATTTATTTTATTATGATTATGATTGACTTCTAAAAATATGTGTTATCGGTTTTGTTAAAAAAATAAAAAAAAATGTGGAACGTGATTCACTTGTGAGGGACGAACGAATATTTAGAAGATTATGTAGCCAAAAATAATGGAGTTTGTTACAATGAAATTTGGTAAGACTTTTTGGATAGGTTGAAAAATAATATTTTTATTTTGATCTATTTATTGGACAAATCCAAAACTTTAATTTACAAAATTATAATCTTTAATTTTTTGAAACGTGTAATATTTTCTAAGATAACTTCTATAAAACAAAATGTGATCAAATCATAATTGATTTTTATGCCTCAATATTCCAAATCAAACCTTACAAATATGGTATGATTATTTACTATTAATATTTTATTTTTTCAAACGTCTGATTCTCTTAGGTTTATATGAAACAAAGTTCAATCAAATCAAAAAGCTAACAAAATCCCGTGGTTACCAAAATCCTATCAAATTAGTTAAGAAAATCCCATTAAATTGGTTAACAATATTGGAACGCATTTTGTTAGGAAAGATTTACGTAATTTATCTATCTAATTAATATCATATTAACGTGTGGGCCCAGTGATATTAATTTAGTATAGCATCAGAATAATTATTTGTTTGATTTACAACATTAATTTGAATGGAAAAAAATCCGTAATTGTTGAGATATCTCAATTCAAAATCTCAATTTTTTGGCATAAGAATTTTCAAATTTGTTACCAATAAAAATAGATTCCTATGGGATTAATATTTAAATGTATTAAATTTTGGTATAAGAATCTCCAAATTTGTTACCATAAGAATATTCAATTTGTTTCCATAAGAAACCCATAAAAATCTCCTATGGATTGGAGTTTATCAATATTTAGTATAGCATCCATTATTCTCGGAATAATTTTTTGTTTGATTTACATCATGAATTTGAAGGGGAAAAAATCCGAAATTGTTAGAATATCTCAATTCAAAATCTCAATTTTTTGGCATAAGAATCTCAATTTGTTACCATAAGAATCTCATAGAAATCTCCTATGGGATGGAGTTTATCAATAGTTGGAATAACATCCATTATTTTTGGAATAAATTTTTGTTTAATTTACAACATTAATTTGAATAGGAAAAAATCATAATTGTTAGAATATCTAAATTCAAAATCTTAATTTTTTGGCATAACAATCTTTAAATTTGTTACCAATAAAAGTAGATTCCTATGAATTAATATTTAAAATGAATTAGATTTTGGTATAGGAATCTCCAAATTTGTTACCAACAAAATCTCCAATTTTTTGGGATATCTAAATTAAATTTGTTACCATTAAAATCTCCAAATTTGTTACCATAAAAATCTCAATTTTTTTGGTACATGTGTTTTTTTCGAAATTTCCATTAATAGTAAGTCAAACTATTTATTTTTTTAGTCAAACTTACTATAAAAGTATTTTCCCAACAACCTCTTTATATTACTATAGATTCAGGCAGTGCTGATATTTCGATTTAGTACATAAGTTAATGTTTTTTAACTGAGCAATTTTGCAAAGTAGATGGAATCACGCAAATGTTTGTGGATTTAACCGTACAGTATCAATATTCTCTAAAATTAAATTAACACTTTCTAAGCATGATAATTTTTATCATGCTTAGAAAATGTTAATTTAATTTTAGTTGATCTATAGTGTTTTTCTAAACAGTTAAAACGTTATAATTGAAGCCCTAACGATAAATGTGTAGTTTTAATATCTATTTAATAACATAAAAAAATTAAACAAATCATGAAACAAAAGTTACAAAATAAAGCAAAAGGATCTCTTGGGATTTCATATTCCTTTAGGCTCAGAGGCCTAAGGATATTGTACTCTCGTATGGTATGGATGCCGAAAATGCTAATCTAATGCCCACAAAAATAAATTAAAAATTAAAAAATGGATAACGATTTGTAGGGTTTTGGTTCAGTGATTTAATTTTTTTTTTTAAAAAAAAATTAAGCACTAGCGCATTAAATTTAACACTGCACCAAATAAACACAAATAAAAAAATACTACTAGTAGTATCTATCGGTTTCCATACATAATCGATAGTCTAATTTTGTGCCTCGAATTTCTCAAGTGTTGTTTTCTTGCCCCCTTTGCCCTCCGATGCCATTAATGTCGTCTTCAAATATAAATACAGAGGAAAATATATTAAAACTTAAAAGACAACATAAACTAACTTTTTTTGGGTAAACCGTGTTGAAAGTGTTACATTGCAATACTTATATAATATTAATTAATTAATTTGTCTAATTGTCATACTGAATCATAATAGTCTGTGATGATATTTCTAATTGTGTATATTGTAGGACACGTGTCAATACACTATTGGTGAATAAGTGTGGATGACTTCATAGCAAAATCATCTATATCATATCCCACATATATAAATAGAAGCGCGCTTAAATAAGAATGAAGCACAATGAAAGAAATAAAAATAAATCTGAACCATTAGAACCATCTTATGACTATCGAGATGAAGTCAAATGTTAGTAATTAAAGTCAAACTCACACTGGCAATTTTGTAATGAAATGTTCATTTATTGGTCAATAATATACCTAGGAGGGTAGTGTTGTAATTTCTACATACTTATCAACCCTAATGGCATGATTGGTAGGAAGGAATGACATGGGAATGAAATGATCATTCCCTTACTCATTCCTTATCTCATGATTGGTATATTTTTTGGGAAGGAACGACCATTCCAATAGAAATGACAAAACCCATCTCCATGGAATTAGCCATTCCATAGTAAATGGAAGGTTTTCTCATTCCCATGTGTGTAGGAATTAATTTTTCAAAAAATAAAATTAAAAAATAATAATTAAAAAATATATATAATATATATTATAAATCATGATTAAAATGTACTAAATAAAATTATTTAAATAAAATTCAAATAAAAAAAATTGAAAACTTACTTATATTTATTTTCTAATTAGATATATTAAATACTTATATAAAAATAAAACTAAAAAAGCATTTATATATAATTTAAAAATAATTATTTTATTTTTATATATTATTAAAAATATATTATTTTTTATATATTAAAAATATATTACTTTTAAAAATATATTATTAAAAATATATTATTGAAAAATATTAAAAATATATATTATTAAAAATATATTACTTTTTATTTTTAAATATTATTAAAAATATATTATTTTTTATATATCAAAAATATATTACTTTTAAGAATATTTTATTTTTTATATATAATTTAAAAATATATTATTTATTTTTAAATATTATTAAAAATATATTATTTTTATATTATTAAACAATATATTATTCTATTTTTATATATTATTCAAAATATATTATTTTATTTTTATATATTATTAAAAAAGCATTCATATACAATTTATTAAAAGTATACTATTTTTTTAAAAAAAGCTTTTATTTATTTTTATAATAAAAAATAATAATGTCATTCCATTCCAGTCATATTCCTTCTGCATACCAAACGCATCAATGACAAAACATGTTTCATTCCATTCTCATAATCATTCCATTCTTCAATTCATTCAATTCCTACGAAATTCCATTCCATCATACCAATCATGCCATAATATTTATATCACATTCAAACACACACAAACACACACTAGACTCATGCACACACTCTGCACGCGCGCACACAAACACGCACACAGAGGAGAACAGCGCACCTCCAACCTCCACAGGCTTCCGTCGTGCCTCCGTCGCCAATCGCCAACCGCGTCGCAGGAGACTCCAGCTGTGCATCCGCCGCCCGCCGCCAACCGCGACGCAGGAGACGACAAACGTGCCTCCGTCGTGCCTCGGCAACCAGTCTCATCGACATCCTTAGAGCCGGTCGCCGTTCACCGCATCGAACTCACTTGCGGTAGGTTTTGAGCAAAGCCTATCTATAATAATATAAAAAGATTTGACATTTACCTGTAATAGTAGCTAAAATCCCGCCAAAATAATTCATTTTTTCTTTTATTAGTAATTTTTTTTGAATGTTTTTTAGTTTTGGCGGTCATTTTTTAAATTCGAATTGCAATTGTCAATAAAATCTGTAAAGAATTGATTTGGTCAATAACTGCGGCTGATGGTATATTTTTCAATTGTGTGATTGTATGTGATATCATTGATACAAACCGGGAAGTAAATAAATAAATTAGATTGTATGCATGTCTGATATGGCAATTACAAAGGAAGTTAAATAAGTAAATGTAATTGCTATACATAATAATCTGGTCCAATCAAAACAAAATATCTTCCAATCCTCAAAATTTTCTTTCCTTATCAATAGAAGATCAACCAAATCTGCAATATTAAATCACAATTATATCCTACTCAATTTATTATAGAAGAACTTTAGCAACAAAATCTACAGTATTTTATCACAATAAAAAACGTGTGGATTAATATCATTAACAAATTGATTTGGCATATCAACAATATCAATGACAAAAATAAACAATATGATTAAACCACGTGTATCTACAATCCTAATATATATAGGTTTCAATGGTTTATTTTTCGTACATAAACAGGTAGGTTTTTGTATTTTCTGTATCCCTAACTCTCTCAATCCATCACAACATCATGCTTCTTATAAAACAATTCATTTTTTATATGCAGCAGCAGGATTGTAAAGAAATCACAGCATGAATCTGGGAAACCACAATCATCATAGATATTGATGAAGGTATGCTTATAGACTATTAATCATCTACCTACTTTGAATCAATGAAAGCATCATACTTTGATCATCATTCATTTTTATATGCAGCAACAACAAATTAACAGAATATGCAGCAATTGGACAAGCATGAAACGTGAAACGTGTGATGAAGGTAATGATTTTTACCTTATGTGCAAGAACATAATGTAATGTAATTGTTAAAATCAATGTAGAAAAAATGTTATAGGCAATCAAAATATACATACTCAATATTAATGTAAAAAAAAAATAGAACAGAATGCAATATAAACATTAGAGGCAGTCGTATGAAAATTTTGAACAAGAAGCTTTTTAGATAACATTAGTAAAAATCTGAAAACGTGTTTAAAAATATTTCTAAACAACCAAGTCAATATCAATCCTATATTCTATATTATCAAAGAAACATTCAATATTATCAAAGAAACGTGTGCCTATGGAATGTAATATCGGGGTAGTATAAATTATCTACCTATTTTCTCACAGTAGCAAACATTATAATTGAGAGGTAAAGTTCTTCCTAAACAAAAAAAATCATCCAAACTTGATTCTTAAATTATGCAGTTTATAAATCATTTAATGTGTGCTACCTTTGCTTTTATTGTTATTTTTATTTTCTTTTTGGACAAGCAGTGTTAAAAGTTCAGGCCACAACAACAAAAATTTTGCATAAAATCAAACATTACAACACCTAAATGCACATATCCACAGACGCAGAGCAATGAAAGAGCAAGTACAAGACTCTGGACAATGCAAGCGCAAACAACAATCGCATGAATCAATTGTCATGTTGATTAATTAGTTTACCTAATTTTACTGTTTCTATTTACTTAGGCTCATATGATCTATGTTGTAAAAATAAATAGATATGTGTCAAATATAAAAGTTTCATATACAGTGGTTTCTCATTTGTAGGTTATATGAACGAAATTAAATTACCTTTTAGTTTGTCTTAAGAAACAACATGAGTTTCAATTCTTCATATCTTATGTACAGTTTTTGGTTTTGATTCTCCATAGTTGTCATGCATTAGAGAAAAAGAGACATGTTACGATAAAAGAAGAATATTAGACAAAATTTGTAAAGTAGTTTAATATATATCTTGATGTATATTTGTTGCCAGTAAAGTTTTTTAATAGTAATTTTTCTACACCACAGAGAAATGTAAACCGTGGATAAAGTAATGTTATTTACCTATTTTTTACTGTTGCATGCTTTCTGAATTGACTCCTCAATTGTCATTTCCATCTCGGATGTTAGCATGTACCTCAAATATCAATCAGACATTAGAGAGATTCAATAAGATCAGTCAATGTATATTAACTTGAAGTATATAAATGTAGCTAAACTTGAAGTATATCTTTTCATAATTGGTGAACCACAAAGGTTGATAGATAATGCACCTATCTTGCAAAAATGCATCTTCAAATATGAACTCGATATATGTTTGTGTATTTTCTTGGTATTTATTGTGATAGCATGTATCCGAGCCACGACATGCATATAAACAAAAAAAATTGTTATTACAGAAATCAATATCAAGGGATATGTTGCTGTTTATACAAATACAACCAAAAAATGGACGATATACACTAAAATCGTTAACAATTTCAGGTAATTTTTTTTTTTTTTAAAAAAAGTAAAATTGTTTACTGGACGACTTTCGAACTCTATACATATAATTCATTAGAAAAAAATATGGAACATTCTTTACTGGACAGATTTAGGCAAATGTACTTTGTAGATATATTATTACAAATTGTTGTCAATACGAATCCAAAATTAGATACATGTGTTTGAAAATGATATTCATGAACCAATAAGTAAACTTGCATCAACAATTTTACCACATTGGGGGTTGAATCACTGAAGAAAGATAAAAAACGAACTTATAATATAACAAATTAGCATATTAACACACTCAGATTCAAGGTCGATTTAGTAAACAACATACAAAATGAACATATAAATTAACAGATTATACGTTCAAAGTCAAACTGATAGATCGGCCGCCATGGGGTTCGAACATGCAAGAACGCTTTTATCAAAATTAAAATAACAATTTATAATATATCTACGAATAATTACAAATAAAATTGTCAATTAACAAATTTCATTTTCGATTTAGCATTTGGAATGAAATAGTTGTGGTGGTCGATTCAGTATAAAGAAAAAACTTAAAAAAGTACCTTTGAGTTTCGACCATCGGGCTCTAACTTCGGATCTTGTGGATGTAACCCGACGACGGCTCTACCTCCGGATCTTTTGAGTCGGCCATCGATATCGCCGTCAAATCCCACTCCAAGTCGGACGTCGTGCTTAAACGAAGAACGAAAATCCAAAAATAAGGATTGACATTTTAAAATCGAACCAAAAAAAAAAAACACCCTCACAAAATCGGAAGTCTCAGTACAAAATATGGTAGTATATTGTGAATCTTACCTTCGGGATCAACGTCTTATCTTAACATAGCCCGTTTATATGGTTTATACAACCCAATATTTAATTGATTTGGTTATTAACAACCCCGTTTTAGATGACAATATGGGCCCGTTTATTAATGTAAATAGGCTGAAATTGCCTAATGAATTTTGGAATGGTAAGATCATTTTCGGGAAGCTGCGAGGGTGTGAGAATTCGAAAACCCTACTCACCATATCAACCCCATTTTTTGCATTTTATACTTATTTTAAATTAATCACAGCCGTTCGTTTTAGTTGACTTAATGTAGGCCGTTCGATGAATAATTATAGTATTTAAAATGTGTCGGGCCGACTTTATATAAATTGGGGCTGAAAAAATACCTAGGTCTAATCCGGTTTTACATTGTCGGACCCAGACTTGAAAAGAAACCATCATCCCGTTCTTATGATATTATTCAGCCCAATTTTTTAAATTAAAATAATTTATATATTATATATTAAATTATTATTATTAATAGCTAATATTTTTTTATATATATAAAATATTATTTAAATATAAAATTAAAAATAAAACCATGCTTATCTTTTTGACATACATCGATTTATGTTAATCTCAAATATGACTTGATATAATAAGTTTGTTTTATTATAATACTAAAAACTTTTGTAAAATTATTAATTATTTAATAAATTTATCTTTAATAATTACTCAACTACTTTATTTTTTTATTTGAATTGTTTATACAAAGATAAATTCATTTTAATTAATGAAAATAATATTAAGTTTTATAACTGTACTTATTATTTACATAGATTTTTAAATATAGGATAAAATTTTACCAAAATAGTTATTTTATGGAATCACATTATAGTCAAATCAAATTTCTGAATACAAATATTATGAACTACGTGCACCATACGGGTTGTGTACTAATATTAAATTGACATATTTTATATAATTTTACACAATTTAAATTTTATATAATATTTTTAATAAATTAATATAAAAAAATTGTATTTTATATTGGTTCCCTATTTTAAATTTAGAAATATTATTTAATGAGCATTTTAATTTTATATATATTAATGAATATCTCTTACCCGTGCATCGCAGGGGATTCGTACTAGTGTTTTCTGAAGGTGCCTAAGTTTGGGATGAGTGAGTTTGGAGATTGATAGTCCGACTACATGAGGTTTCGTGGTGGCCTGTCTGGCAGGGATGCATGGATCATATTGAGAGTGTGGGCGAGTTTTCAGCGTGACCCGGGCACGAGACTGGAGCTTAGCATCACGTATCAACCTAGATAGTTGGACGTTCGGAGCATACTGTCGAGACACTAGGAGACCGATTGGAGTCTTGTGTACTTGATGGGTATGTCGTGTGAGGATTCTTTATCGTGGGAAGGTACGGTTATAACAATGGTTATTAAGCGATGATCCCGATGGTACCGTACGAGGTTTTGGGTATGGATAGAGGTGTTGTACGTCTCGGTTCTGAGAAGAGAGGAAGTTGCAGCCACACTTTACTAGTCCTTTTGGGATTCTCGACCGAGTCGATGACTTAGCCTGGCGGTTGACTCCACCATTGGAGCTTGCGGGAGTGCACGACATGTTCGGTGCCTCGTGGTAGAGAGGACATGTGCGTGACCTCGGGGCACGTGGCGAACTTTGACGAGCTGCATGTTGGGCAGAACCCTACCTGTGTTGAGGTACCGGTGACTTTTTGGATGAGAGGGTCCATTAAGGAGAGGCTGGGAGGAGTACTCGTCAAAGTCCAGCGGGGTCGTCGGGGCGAGGGCGATGCGACCTGGGAGAGCGAGGACGAGATTCAGACAGAGTATCCGAGCTTCATGGTTTGGGCTTCTCTCTTGTTTCTGTGTCCCTTTTTGGGATACCTATTCTTTTGTATTTCCGGGGGCGGAAATCTTTTAAGGACGGTAGATTGTAGTGCCCCTTTCGATTGATATGATTTCTCACAGCTTATTTTAATTACATGCAGTTTATTTGATTTATGTGCTGCTATTATTTGTATTTTATGTGCAATGCTTAATATTAACCTTATATGTGTGGATGGACTTATAAATTGTTTACGGGTATTTCATAAGATTATTAATTGCTTCTACTTTTATTTTATATGATTTTCCGTGATTTATATATATACATTTATTTGCTTTTATATTATTATTGTCTTTATATCCTTATATTATTGCTTGTTTGCTCATTTATTATTAAAAATTGTGTCTTTTGCCTTGCGTGATTTATCTGCTTATTTCTGGTGATAATATATGAATTATTTTGTTTTTTACTGTTGTGTATTGGTTAGTTAGAATTTATTTAATTATTGGACTTATAGTGAGGCGATTTTCGGTTTAATCGCGTCAAACCGTTCTTAATTCGTTCGACTTGTTTTTGAGCCTTTTTAATCCGAACCTCGAACATTTATTTTTGGTCCAAGTCCTTATGTTTTTCGGTCCAATCTTGACCCATAAACCGACCCAAATGCATATAGAACCCGCCCCATGCCTTTGAGATTTTTGGCACCATTGCTTTTTATTTTGAAATTTAAAAAGGAGTTACATTATTTTGGAAATGTTTGGAAAGATCCTTCTCTCCCTTAGTGCACGACCATTTAGCCTTAGTATACCTTAATTTTGGTCTAATTATGGTAGGAAGAATATGAGAGATGTAACTTCTCTTTTCCATTCAATCACACTTAAGGGAATGCCATTATATCCCCCCTTATTTTCTCATTTTCGGTTTTAACTTTTCCCTTAAGCAAATTAGAGCATATCCCCTCCCATTAGTACTCTAAACATTCTTCTTCCTCAAGAAAATTCACTCTCGGCCGCTGCCCCTTTCTATCGTCGTTGTGTGCCCTCGGTCACGCGAAGCCCCGTACGCAAGCCACTACAGCAACGCATGTTGGGACCTATGAGGATCTCGTTATGTACAAGTCACGAATTCAATAACAAACGTAAACCTATGCGCAACGGATCTTAAGGTTTGACGTAGAAAACTTAAGGCTTAAAATTTTCTGAAATCTGACTGATTCTGGATGACCGGGAGCAGCACTCGGAGTAGCCGGGATCGACTGGGTGGCGGGATCGGCGCCGCAGAGCTGCGGTGGTCGTCGGCGGTCCGTTGCGGTCGGGGCTGATCGCGGCGGTCGTCCGGTCGGCAAAAGTCGGCGGGTCGCGACCTTCAGGTTGTGGTTCGTCGGCTCCGGTAGATGATCACGATGTCTCAATTACCTTCGAGATCTTCTACTGTATTACTCGTACACCTCTTCAACTTGTATCGGTGGAACAACAAGAAGAAGATAAAGCTCGAATGGAATATAGTACTAAGTGTCAAATTAAACCTATCAAACCTTCGTGATAATGGCGCATCAAGGTGTCCCACGATTCGTGGCCAACATAAAGACGAATCCATCTCACGAGCATCTCAATGCTTAGTAGAGATCACAGCTTTCAGCACAAAGCCACCCCATGACTCATGGTCAGTGACTAAGCAATGTAGCATCATCATGTCATCTACTTTTGATGGAAGGCATGGACTAATAGGTTCAACCTATTTTATCCATTATAATTTGATATGGAATTAATCGAATTAAATTCCTTAATAGTTTCAGAAACTTAGGGTTTATTTTCAAGACCTCATCAACTTAAATTTCTAAGTGGATTTATTTAATGCAACATTCATCATATGAAGCGCAAGCAATAAGTATTAAATAAATCCAACATGCATCTTATCCAGAAAGCGATGGGATGATCACGACCAAACCTATGCAACCCATTCGAGCCAAAAATGGGTTCATGCCAATCTAAGGGGTAAAATAAATAGAACTACTTCTATTACAATTTTCTTGATTAACCCGTACAAGCACTGGCCTTCAAAATATATTCTATTACAACTTGTAAATATTACCCACACAAGCGTGGGCCTTTTGCATCGAACGGCCTTCAACCAGAATTAGAAAACCTCACAATCTAATCTACTCTCGATGCAATAATTTACAATATTACAAATAACAGAATAAGAGGCTCGCAGGCCCTAAAAGTCCAAATATAAAACATACATCCAATCACATTAATGTAAAGGCTCTTGATCATCCCTAAATAAATATGCTAAAAACATTCATTACATGAATTAAAAGCATATAAATTTACAAATTTTGTGTGTTGATTTAATTTTGGGATTAAATTAAACTTAACTATTCATAAAACGAACAAATTAACTTCTTCTCTATGGGATCATGCATGTATATGTCTGTTTAATATCATACGGGTTAAGAGAACACAATAATTAACCGAGACCTAGTTCGTTTACAACGATCAGTATAAAACGAACTTCTCCTCTCTAGGATCCTGTTCAATACATAATTGTACTAGTGCAACTAATCAGCCAAGACCAACTGTACCATTGACACTCAACCGTTTTGATAGGGTGTTCATTTTCATCTAGGTTGTGAACCAACATTCTTGTTTTGCAAGTGACTGATAAGATGATCTTATGTCCATCCGTGATGAACCATCTTATCTAAGTGCTAAACAACAGAACATAGAACTTGTTTAATCGAACATGATTCTCATTCATAAAGGGCAAAAGTGTAATATCACCCAAACCCAAGTTTTCAGTATATAACACTAACAATCTCCCACTTATACTTAAAGCTTATGCTTTTACAAGTATAGTCCTATCAATCCGTTATTCTAAAAGACCTATGTCGATCCTATTGCCACACACCTGACTCCCATTTCTTCCACGTGTTTGACGAAGACCTTCCCCGGCAAACTCTTCGTGAAAGGATCAACTAGGTTGTCCTCTGATGCAATCTTGGCAACATCAATGTCTCCTCTACCCATGATATCTCTATCAGATGGTACTTGCGCTCTATGTGTTTGCTTGCTCTGTGGGGTCGTGGTTCCCTTGAGT